TGCACAACTGTCATCGTCTTTCTTGAGAAAGCACGTGACATTTGCCTCCCTCCGAAAGAAGCATCGTCCCGATGCGCAACTCAGGTGCTCTACCAGGCGTATGAAGTGGTCGTACGAAAACGGTAACCGGGAGCTAATTAACTCGATAAATACGGTTTCATACGCATGACGTGCACGACTTTGGGCAAACGCTTTTGGCGCTTAGAACTACAATTAGTGTCGGGAACGACTTCGTAGTTCACGTCGTTCAAGCGTCGCGTGACGCTGTATGGACCAAAGTACCGTCTTAGCAGTTTCTGAGACAGTCTGCGTCGACGTATCGGAATCCAGACCCACACTTTGTCGCCTGGTGAGTAGCTAACAAACTTGTGTCGGGTGTCGTAGCGTTGTGCATCTTGATGCTGCTGATGACAGATGCGCACGCGCGCGAGCTGTCTGGCTTCTTCGGCACGCTGAGTGAATTCTTCGGCATCTACATGGATGTCGTCACACTCATGTGGCAACATGGCGTCCAATGTTGTCGTGACTTCGCGACCATAGATCAGACTGAACGGTGTCATTCTAGTGGTTTCTTGTCGAGCGGTGTTATAAGCAAAGATCACGTACGGCAATATCTGATCCCAGTTTTTATGTTCCGTGTCAACGTACATGCTGATCATGTCTGTGAGGGTCCTATTGAGGCGCTCCGTCAGTCCGTTTGTCTGCGGATGGTAAAATATGATTCTAAAAGACAGGGCATGCAAATACAGACACTAGAGTGAGTTCGAGACACCACAAATGCTGACTCCAAAGGTGCGTAACGATGGAAAAGATAAAAAAAAAGACACAATAACTTATCTGCGCATGCCCATCCACATGCTCAATGGGGCATGCGTCTATGTGAGAGATAACTATTTGGACACTTAATTTCTCCTTTTTAAATCAATTGATGAATGACACGCATGTGCTACTGCTATTATGGATGCCTTCATCATTAGATGCATCTCTTCATTCCTATGGTGGCACAAAACTGCGCGTTCCAGCGTCCACTTACTGTCTTGAACTGCGCAATTCAGCGTGCCTGGTGACTCGCAGAACTGCTTAGCCTCTGCGAACTTTTCAGACATTCTTCACGTGCACTAGGTCAGTATCTCTCAGAGGAGAGGAGCCTTGGTGGTTTTTATTACTCTTTGCTGCGTGAGGTCTTGTTGAAATCTGTGAATGGCTGATTAGGGCACGAGACGACTTTCACTGATAATTGTGATTTTCTATTGAATGTCAACTTTGTGGGGGTCTGCAAATATTTGAAATTTCGAATAGTGTTCGCTATTCGATTCAATTCACCCTGGAATTTCACTATTGGAATGAGAAGGGGGAGATTTCTGGAAGCGTGGTCCATTTGTCATAACAGCAACTGTTGCCAGTGTACGCTGAGGAGGCTACCTGTATTTTAGGAGCACATCTTTGAAAATCAGAACTTCTGCCACTTCAAGCTATCAGCCATTTGACACTGCCATTTTCTAGCCCCATGTCAAAAACGATTAGCTCGGAGCCTCGGATGAAGATACAAACCAAGAACCACAGGTAGACACTCAAGTGACCAAAGGGATCCCTCCCCCCCCCCCCCCCCTCAAAAAAAAGGAACGTGAACTCTCTAAGCTGTTCACTAGCAACGTGACTGCTTTAGGACATGTTGTTTACAAGTGAATGTCGGAACACGGTCTTCTGTGGGGAAAATATTTTTGTGAGGGACATCTTCTCTAAACTGTGAGGGGAAAGGTGGAGAAGATATGGTAAAGAAGAAAGCTCAAAAAATGGTACTGTGTAACATGAATTTATTCAACACGTGTTGCTGTAGGAAATTTTTTATAAAAACAGAAGTAACTCTATTTTACATTACACTGAGTAAAAAGGTTACTATACTCGGGCACAACTTTCTGTGGCAATGAAGGGAAAGCCACAGAAGGCTATAGTGTGCAAGGTTCTGCAGTAATGAGACACCTAATTGAAAACAATATATTAACAAATGTTTGACACGGGTTCGGTAAATGGTTCTCATGCACCGCACAACTGGTTGAATTCCATCATGATCTGGTATCCGATATTGATTCAGGGGCACAAACTGTCTGTATTTTCTTGGATTTTTGTAAGGCATTCGACGCGGTAACACATTTACTTCCTTGCTACAAACTTAAATTACTAAACATAGGTCTTGCTGTCCTTAGATGGATGGAAAATTATCTGTGCGAGCGCGGACAATGTGTCGTTTTATACGGCAAAAGCTCTGAGTATGTTGATGTGACATCGGGAGTTCCACAAGGTTCTGTATTGCAGGGGTGCAACAGCTGCGCCGATTGCGCCAGTTTTATACAACTCCCAATTGTTGCGCCAAGTTGCACCAGAATCGTGAAATTTGCTCAGCTAGCGTCACGCTGCACCAAAATGCCCAGCCAGGCTCAAAATTTTTTCAGGTGCGCTAATTTCGGCGAGAAATGCAGGCCACGTCGGTGCTTAGAATATACCTAAAATATTCTAGGCACCCTCCCTACGCTCGTGAGACGCAATCGACCAGATAGAGTAACAATGCTGCGCGCCCATCGGTCTGCTGACTGCAGCGAATACCTATCGGCAGGACAATGGAACTTCAAGACGAGAATGCATTGCTGTAGCCACAAACGTTTCGCGCGAAATATAAATTTCTTAGCCTGAAAATGCGGAGACGGCTTGTTAGGAACTAAAACTGAAAAAGTGTGCCGCGTTTTCCTCGCACGTATAAGCTCGATGTGTTGCAAACGCCGGCATTGCCAGTGACAACGTTGATTACCTTATCAGTGGCACATGAAAGAAATTTTTTGTCTTGGAGTTGCATCGTCCGGCCACAGTCCTGGCGATTAATATTAGATACTGTTGCCGGGCCAGCAGTCGTGCGCTGTTATTACTTTACCTAGCCGAACGCGCTTCGCAACTGTGCCGAAGCGGCACCCAATTCTACGGTGAAAGAAAAAAAAGTCGCAGTTTTGCCAAAAGGGCGAAGAAATGAATGCGATAGCAACATATTCGAATGTTTTACGAAGCAAGGCTAGCATCCGATCTCACGAAACTCTATAAAACGCTGGTGTAAAGGCACGTTTACACTAGAGCGACGTGACACTGACACCACCCCGACGAAGACACGAGGCAGATGCAGACTATCACCTGACGAGTTGCCCGTTGACAATGTCATGAGACAATGTCATGAGACCTCGTGGTCACACTAGTTGCCGCCGCCGCCTCACAAGACAGCATGTCGTCGTAGTGTAACATGATGACAAACTGAAAACACCAGCAGAACGCATTGGCAGACAAGTCGTCGGCGAAAACTTGCCCATGTCTTTGATTAGCGGTTAGAAAATTTCTTGACTCTGGTCTAACCTGTGCAGAGAATGCTGCTTGTTAAAGGGGTACTGACGCAAAAACTTTGGCGTCGTGTTTTTCTGCTGCAAGGTGTTGCTGGGAGCCTGTTAGTCATGACACGACACATTGTTTGCTGCAGCAGGCGACAGATAATTATTTACAGGCCCCCTTTTACGGACCAGTTTCAGTTTTGGTTCAAGAGAGCTCCAAAAACTGGGTGCAACTGTCGCCACCTAGCGTGTGCAGCTTTTGACCACGTCAGCACACAGAACTGTGACATACTTCTGCACAGTACGCATCAGAAATTACATTCGAGTAGGAAACAGGGCTGCAATATCACCAAACACAAAAATTTCTAAGCCTGCGTCATGGCCACGCACTCGCAACCAGCCGCCAAGAAATATAGACTGCGGTAACAAATGCGGCAAAGAAAAAATGGCGGCTATGATGTCATCATAACTTGCTTTGTTGACTGCCACATGGGGACGTGAGGGAAGTAGGGGGTCACCTAGGGGTCTCCTTCGATGGTGTCAATGGCACGATAAAGTCCAGGGCTCGCACAAACTTCAAAATTCCTTTAAAATACCTTCCCAGCTATATTCGCTGTTGATATTTTGCAGATGATGTGTGAATGTTCCTGCGAATCAACCCTACAGGCTATCTCGGCCGCAAAATTTGGTGTCAGTGCCCCTTTAAGCCACTTTTGCCGCCGTGCACTGGTGCCGTGCCAAAAAGTTTATTGATATTTGGAAGGGGCTATTAGCGCCAGTTACGGGACACTGCGCATTTTGTTCAGTTACTCATGCGTTTGTACGTCGCCTATTTTTAAGTAACAGTTTAATCACAGACTAAGTAAGCTACTGGCCATCAAAAAGTAACAATTTTGACATTGCCCTTTAAACGTGGCACGTCGAATGGCTCGTTGGACTGCCTTCTCCAAAGCAATCGGTAACATTCACATGCGCTCCTCTAGAGATAAGTCAGGCACACTAAAGCTACAGTTGTGTGCTTCCCCGTTTCTACGGAAAAAATGAAGACAGTTTGCTTACTTTACATACTGGCTCTGGAAAAGTTTCAGTTCATCTAATAGACAGTGTGTCTTGTTTTGTTTTGGCAAGAGGCTGACAGACCGCTAAAATAAAGAAATTGCGTACACAAAAAGTAGCCACTGCCGCTGAAGAAGATACTGTCTTGACATCAATTCATCATTTTTAAATGCGAGGCATTTCTTTGCCTACTACAGACATATTGAGCGTTTGTGTTTGTCCATCTGTGCCTGCCTGCAATCTAATCTAATCTTAAAAGAAGATGGCACGTTCTCAGAGAAAAATGGCTGCACTTTGAAGGTGAGGATGGAGTGCAGTTTTGGGAATGCAGCATCATTGTATCCTTGAATCAGTGCTTTTAATGAAAGCTGGGTGCAGGAAAGTACCACAAACAAAAGATACCAGAAATAAAATGACACTTGGGTTAAATCAATGCTGCTGACACCAGCAGATGTGAAAGAGCAGATGTGTGCATGTGCTGATATAATGACTGCTTTATTATTATTATTTTTTCATTTTCTTGGGAACCTCTTGATTACAGCAGCAGTGTTGTGGTTGTGAGTGAACTTTCTGGCTGTGCAGAGCGCAAGGGGCGACAGGCCAAGAAGGCGACCAGTGGACAACTCGAAGGACCACCTACAAAGCGGCTCAAGAAGCTAACAGATGATGGAAATTATGCGGCTTACCTCAAGAGGCTCAAGTGAGTTGTCGACTACTCATTCAGGTTCTGCCATGCGGGCACCGAAGTAACTCTCTGGCACACTATGTACACACCACTTACTATTTGCTTGGGGGACACGGGTCTTAGAAGGCCAAAAATCGCGAAAAATCAACTTCTTGAAGCGAACGTGGTTGCTTGGGCGAGTTGGTACGACATGATTCACATAAAAAACAGTGCCAATAACGAGCGACAAGAGAAAGATTGCGCTATCACAAAAAGAAATAGATCTCCTTCGGAACGTTAGCACACGTGTTGTTCATGGTGCGTTGTGGCGATGACTACGTGGTTGTTAGGTGGATTCTGTTTTCTTTGTTTTGTATTTTTCTTTTTTGTCAGATACTTCCCAAGTATATATTGTGCGATTCTAGCAAATAAATCTTGTTGTAAGTCAATGCCGCTGTCTGTCTCCTTCTTTCTCGTGTCCCTCGTTATTGGCGCTGTTTTTTATGTGATTCTTGAAGCTGTCATTTTCGGAATATGTGCCTATTTTTGCACCTATCCGAGAAGTTTCTAGCTTCTCGCGTCATTATTTGTGGCACAAAATCAACTTATAACATCTCTGTGAGATTAATGTGAGCGCAAATTGATGCTAAAATCGCGCTTTTTCCGCGCCGAACTGTTGCTGTTACACACAAGCTATCGTGTTCATGTTGGTCTCATTTGGAAGAATCGTTCTTGATCTTCAATTTTCCGCCACCTCTGGCTCGCCTTGCTCACTGGTTTAAAAAAAAAAACGCGTCACCGAGATGCACTAGTGCGTGATTCTATTGGCTGCTTGGGGCATGTGACAAAACATGGGCATCCGATTGGCCTAGTGTCGTTTCTGGCGTCTGTTTCACTATCATGACGCGCACGGACATGCGCCATTTTGTCATGGTGCTACTGATTGCCTGCGGCAGTAAAGAAGTTCCGTGCTACAGTAATTTGTGAAGCGGGTGTGGCGATCGTTCGTTCGCTGTGAACTTCAGAATGAGCCCCGCTATGGCTCACGACAACGAGGATAAGGAACTCGCCGTGGTCAACGGTGGTTGCCGAGTCGCCAGTGTAGGCCTAACTCACGTACGAGCCCATTGGTTGCCGACAACGTTACTGTTTGGCAGCCTCATCAGTTAGAGGACGGCAATTGATTGATTGATATGTGGGGTTTAACGTCCCAAAACCACTATATGATTATGAGAGACGCCGTAGTGGAGGGCTCCGGAAATTTAGACCACCTGGGGTTCTCTAACGTGCACCCAAATCTGAGCACACGGGCCTACAACATTTCCGCCTCCATCGGAAATGCAGCCGCCGCAGCCAGGATTCGAACCCGCGCCCTGCGGGTCAGCAGCCGAGTACCTTAGCCACTAGACCACCACGGCGGGGCTAGCGGACGGCAAGTAAAAAGCAGAAGTGAAGCTACAAGAGATATTAATCTTTCCAGTGACAAAACGGAAGCGCAGTCTTATCGCTAAATGCGCCGATGCCGCGGTTCCCCTCGCCTCACGGAAGGACCTTGAACTGCACGACGGGTCGTCAGCGTGGAGTACGCCGCGCGGCGACGAACAATTGAAAGCCAATCCGATTGCGGTGAACGTGCTCGCCGTTCGCGCAATGGAGGCTACTGGCAAAAGGTAGACTGCTTTAAACGACGTGTTCGCAACGTTGTCGTGGTCTCCGCTCGAAAATGTGGCAGTCTTACGGGAAAAAGGAAACTAGCATTTCGGCACTCATGTAGCCTCGAAATTGATGAGCGAGGGAGCAAGTTCGGTTCGCGACATTTATGGGTAACTCATTTTGCAGAAGCCGGAACACATCGCCGTGTTATTCGCGCGCACATTTGTCGCACATCGCCGTCAGTACTGTCAAGGAACTGGTAAGCGGCCTTGCGGCAGACAAGCACTCAGCATCAATTTGCTACAGGACTAGAAGAAACGACACGGTCTTGCGAGCAATCAGTCCTATGAAACGGGTTGTTGAACAAGCAGGAGTTGACTTGGCGAACGAGAGCTTTATTTAGCGCAAGGTACTAACTGAATGCAAGCCTGCGATCACAGCAAGTCTTCTTCCTTTTCTATACTCGAGCTCCATGCCCACTGCCCTCGTTACAATCACCCCCCGGGCAATGAGGGAGCCATCCTGGCGACCTAAGGACAGGTGTACACAAAAGGGTCATGGTATGGCTTGAGCCGAGAGATGTGTACGATTTCTTGTCCCCAACAACGCTTGTCCGGAGATTTATCCAGCGGCTTTACAAGGTAGTTGACAGGGGATGTTTGGCGTACAATTCAGTAAGGGCCATGGTACCTGGACGAAAGCTTGTGGGAGAGTCCTGGAGGAGTAGAAGGAATCCATAACCACACCAGTGAGTTTGGAGCAAAGCTCATAGGCGTGGTTGACGCGTCGTGGCGATGTTTTTGGCGCTTCTGGTCATGTGACATGAATGCACGAGCAAGCTTCCGACATTCTTCAGCGTGTGCTGCTGCTCGAGAAATGGTAGTCATGTCTGAAGGGTCCGGTCGATAAGGAAGAATGGTATCCATTGTTGATGATGGCTCGCGTCCATAAAGAAGGAAGAAAGGCGAAAATCCAGTGGTGCTTTGCGTTGAAGTGTTGTAAGCATATGGCACAAAAGGCAGTATGCTATCCCAATTTGACTGGTCGGATGAAGCGTACTTGGCCAGCATATCCCCAAGTGTACGATTAAAATGCTCTGTCATCCCATTAGGTTGCGGGTGATAGGCTGTGGTAGTGCGGTGTATGATGCAACACCCGCTCAACAACGCTTTGATGGCATCGGAGAGAAACACGCGGCCGCGGTCGCTTAGTAACTCCTGAGGGGCTCCATGCCTTAAAACCAGGTTTTGCAGTATAAAACATGCAACGTCTTTTGCGGTAACAGAAGGTAACGCAGCTGTTTCAGCGTACCGCGTTAGGTGGTCGATAACGACATTGACCCAGCGGTCGCTACTCGAAGTATAGGGAAGCGGACCGTAAAGGTCGATTCGGACACGATCGAAAGCTCGTGCTGGACGTGGCAACGGCTGCAAGGGACCTGTGGCATGTTGAGTGGGCATTTTGCGTCGCTGGCACGTAAGGCAAGACCTTACGTAACGGCGAACAAAACGGTACATACTTCGCCAGTAGTACCGCAGCTGCAAGCAAGTGTATGTTTTTAACACACCAGCGTGGCCACATTGCGGATCATCGTGGAACGTGGCACAGATGTCAGAGCGCAGATGTCGGGGGATGACGAGCAACCACTTACGGCCGATCGAGCTGTAGTTTCGGCGGTAAAGCAGGTTATCCCGAATAGCGAAGTGTCCTGCTTGACGGCGAAGTGTCCTGGAAACTGGAGCGGGCGTCTGATTTGAGAGAAAGTCCAAAAGAGAAGAAATCCAAGCATCTTTGCATTGCTCGGAAGGCATGTCCGAAATGCTGATGGCTAAGGCAGCACTGGTGGAGATAGCCGAGCTGACAGGCTCTGAAGCCAATGGTGAACGTGACAGGGCATCGGCGTCGGAATGCTTCCGGACAGAATGGTAGATAACAGGGATATTGAACTCCTGTAACCGCAATGCCCAACGAGCAAGCCGACCATTAGGATCTTTTAGTGAAGATAACCAGCAAAGCGCATGGTGGTCTGTTACAATATCAAATGGACGTCCATATAAATAATGCCAAAATTTTCCGATTGCCTAAATAATGGCGAGGCACTTCTTTTCAGTTACACTGTAATTCCTTTCGGCATTACGGAGGGTGCGGCTGGCATAGGCAACGACGAACTCATCAAAGCCATCTTTGCGTTGGGCCAGTATGGCCCCTAGCCCGACACCACTAGCGTCCGTATGAAGCTCCATTGAAGCAGACGGATCGAAATGTCGGAGTATGGGAGGCGTGGTGAGGAGCCGTCGGAGTTCCTGAAATGCATCATCACACGCCTGCGACCACGCTGACAAATCAGAACTTCCAGCAAGAAGATTGGTCAAGGGGCGATAATGGAGGCGAAATTGCGGACGTAGCGCCGGAAGTAGGAACATAGGCCGGTGAAGCTTCGAAGCTCTTTGATGGTGGTTGGCTTTGGGAACGCTGCGACTGCATTAAGCTTCGTAGGGTCCGGGAGAATGCCGTCCTTAGAAACCACATGGCCGAGAATTACAAGCTTGCGAGCGCCGAAGTGGCATTTCTCCAAGTTAAGTTGAAGTCTCGCCGTGGAAAGGCACGTAAGAACTTGCTCGAGGCGGCTGAAGTGGGTCGCAAAGTCGCTTGAAAATACCACAATGTCGTCCAAATAACAGAGGCATGTTTTCCATTTCAGACCTCGCAAGACGGTATCCATCATCCTTTCGAAAGTGGCAGGCGCATTGCAGAGGCCAAAGGGCATAACGGTGAATTCGTATAGTCCATCCGGTGTTACAAAGGCTGTCTTCGGGCGGTCACCCTCTGCCATGGGCACCTGCCAGTAGTCGGAGTGTAAATCTAACGAAGAAAAGAACTCTGCTCCTTGTAGGCAGTCCAAAGCATCATCGATGCGCGGCAGAGGGTATACGTCTTTGCGCGTTATCTTGTTGAGTCGGCGGTAGTCAACGCAGAACCGGATGGATCCGTCTTTTTTCTTGACGAGAACGATTGGTGAAGCCCAGGGACTTTTCGAGGGCTCGATGATGCCACGTTTCAACATGGCGTCCACTTGTTAGTCGATTACATGGCGTTCAGCAGATGACACACGGTACGGGCGCTGTCTTAGCGGGGCTTGTTGACCGGTGTCAATACGGTGAATGACCGCAGAGGTTCGGCCTAAGCCTGACTGGTCACGATCGAATGAAGAGCGAAAGTGGAGTAGAAGATTTATTATCTCTTCACGCTGAGTTGGTGCGAGCTCAGAGTCGATGGCATCCGAGAATACGTCCAGAACATCATTGGGCGCGTTGGTAGGAGTGACAGCACAAATTGGGAGCAAAACCGTAGATACAGGTATAGTAGCCGGAAGAATGCACTCG